AAGTCAGCATTTGGAAAAGTTTTTTGACTTCAGAAGCTTTGGCATTTTACCAGAGGAGCTTTGCGAAGACCGTTCTCTACATGGTTTTCAGCCAGAATCCAAATCATGCGAGGACGACAGCCATGAAGGTTGGCGAATTGGAAAGGAAAGTAAAGACAACCAAGGACCCAAAATGAACCTTCCTATCTGTTACAAGCTTATCATTGCTCCTGTCATGAAGTTCCTTGAGGGCCCTGAAATTGTCATTGTTCCTGATCGTGCTTTATACCAAATTCCATTTGCCGCCTTAACTGATGAAAGCGGAAAGTACTTATCTGAGACCTTCAGGATCCGTATTGTCCCTTCTTTAACAACCCTCAAACTCATTAATGAAAGTCCAATAGACTATCGCTGTCAGACTGGTGCACTGATCGTGGGAAATCCTGATGTTGGTGAGGTGCACTTTAAAGGACGCCTCACGAAAATCTCTCGATTACCTTGTGCAGAAAACGAAGCGAGGATCATAGGAGAAAAGCTCGGTGTCGAGCCGTTGCTAGGACAGCAAGCGACTAAGCTAGCAGTACTTCAAGCAATGAATTCAGTGGCCCTGATTCATATCGCCGCACACGGTGATGCAGAAAGAGGAGAAATTGCCCTTGCACCATCTTTTCGTATTCCTAACGCGGTACCTCAAGAAGGCCTGTACTTGTTGACAATGTCTGACATTTCAAAAGCTCAACTGCGAGCTAAACTGGTAGTCCTTAGCTGTTGCCACAGTGCTCGAGGACTGACAAAAGCCGAGGGAGCTGTTGGAATTGCCCGAGCATTCTTAGGATCTGGTGCACGCTCAGTGTTGGTGTCACTGTGGGCCCTGGATGACAAGGCAACAGAGCAGTTGATGAGTCAATTCTACAGTCACCTTGCTGCTGGGGAAAGTGTTGGTGAATCTCTACATGAGGCCATGAAGTGGATGAGAAGTGAGGGCTATGACGTGAACCAGTGGGCACCTTTTATACTGATTGGAGATGACGTGACATTTAATTTTGGAAAGTAAGGTAAGATTCCATGAAAATACGTGCCTTTCTGTTTCTAGAAAAGGGGTCATGGCATTAACTCACAACAATTTTCTATACATGTTATTGATCAATGTTTTATTTTCAGTTATAAGAGGGTTAGGTTTCTATATCTAATTATTTCCTTAACGTTTGTCGTTTGATCTTGTGCGGCTGATGTATTTATTTTCCAACCGATGATTGGCTCTGTCGATCATGAGAGCGGTAGACCATGAAATTAAGTGAAAAGTTATGGAACGTAACTTCTGTTGTTGTTGTTTATTTCGTCTGCGGCTGATGTATTTATTATACAACTGATAACTAGTTCTGTCGATCATGAGAGTGCCATGAAATTAAGTGAAGAGTAATGAATCGCAATTTTTATTGTTGTTGTTTATTTCGTCTGTCAGGTATTGGCAAGAATGACCAGGACGACAGCGACTAATCGCGTAAGAAGGAAAATATGCCATGACGTCATCGGACAGTTTTAGTGCAAGAGCTAAGTTGAACAAACATTTTTATCGAGGATTGACTCTTGCTCCTCTTCTGTCTAAACAAAATGCCTCGGTAGAAATATTACGATTATGTCTTTCTGATGATTTTTCTAAAACAACTGCGTGTAGGTTACAACTGTTCTTTTAGTGAACCGCCATTTGAAACTTCATCGAATACCGTAGTGTACAGCTGAGTGTTGGACTCAAAAAAAAATAAGTAAAACTTTAATTCGTGAGGTAATCCTTTAGTACGGGACTTTAAGATGATGTTAGCAATTGTTACAAATCTTCCCTGCGACGAAAAACAAGTAATGGACTGCCAAAGTATGGCTTATCTGATAAACCTTATGTTTTCCCAGCTAGACGTGCTGTTAAACTTGTAAATATTGTACATAAAAAATACTGACCCTTAGTACTTGTCAATGAGAAAAGTGGGATTTTAAACTAAATTATAGTCAGAAAAACCTTGTACATTTGCTGTTGTTACATTTCTGAAGAAGTTTCCTGCAGAGCGTCTAGCCTTTGCAAGTATTTTCATATATTAAATCGAAACAGAAGACTGTTAAAAATGTTGAATGTTTATAGTGGTCGATGCGCTTAGTTACGACTTGTTAGTTCCCAGGCATGTCACTTAAACTAAAAGAAAGAAATAATTCAACTAAACTAACTAGCGGGAAGCAGACCAGGACTTGAACTAGGGTCTACCGAGAAGCAACTCCAGCTTAGTGATTAGAACGGGACTTTAACCCGCAACCTGCGGATTTCATGATCAAGTATAACCCTAACCACTCGACCAAGACTGAAATAAGCATATTGCATGAGAAAGACCCAGTAAGGTTTACAGTTAGCTTTTTAACTAGTGATAGCAGAGAATTTGTCAAAATGTTAACTGTCAGCTGACAAATAACGCGTTTTTTAACATCACAGCTGAGATATGAAATCCTCGAGGTTTACTGATAGCTGAGAAATGGGCAGGAATTTCAACTGATAACTGAGAAATCCGGACGGAATTTAACTAAGAACCGAGGTTCCAGCTTCTCTTTCCAGATCCGTCTCGTTGTTATCAGTCAAAACGGAATTCTCTTCGTTGTAGGAAAGTCCTACGAGTAGGTGATGACGTAAGCTCATTTCGGGGGAATCCCTCAGTTCTTGTTTATTACATAATCACCAAAACGAAACTTAACTTGGTCATTTATTTAATACGGGGAACCCCTTCTGGGGCGATATTTTTTAACTCGCTCTATCACATGGTCACTTACAAGAATAATTCAGTACTCACAGTGAAAATAAGAAGAACAAAAAGAAGAAAACTGTGAAACCGTATAGCTCATTCCAAATAATAAGGGAAGATAAATAGCAAACCAGCTCTTGTGGCACTAAAAACAATTTCTGAGAATAACGTTACACATTTCGCTTCAGTAGAGGAAAAAGGAATGTGATTAAAACTAGGGAGCTTCAGGAATCCTCTACGGCTATGCTGTAATGAAAGGAACAAAGTTTTTGCACGTAATAATACTAGTAAACCTTGGTATAAATTCTTAGCTGTACTCTTTAAAAAATCGATGTTAAATTCAGACTAAATTTAGGCTATTTTGTAACTAGAAAGTGAATCACAGGGTTGAATATTTCTGTTTCTATTTGGTGTTAAACGCTCTCTTTGCATATTCAGCTGGAGCTAGTTTTTCACTGATAGACGCACTGAATTGTCTTTGATAATTGCGAGATTCTGAACAATCAAGTAAAAATGTAAATTCATTTTTTTCACTGGGCGTTGTCCTTGGCATCACCATCGTTGGTTTTTCAAACTTCGTATTGTGTAGTAAGTGCAACCTTGCATGTCACGTGTCTGTCGTTCTCACGTGGGTATCATGCCGAGATGAAAAATTTCTTGTCTGATGATAAACACACGCCACACCCTACATAAACCATTTCAGCGGCTGGGTGTGGCCGTAGGGCGTAATTCATGCCTTCAGGATTGGCAGGGCAGGGTTGCCCGTCAATAGCTTTTTCGGGAGAAGGAATCGAAATCAGGCAGCAGTTTATCCTTGTAGAAAACGCATTTTGGGTGTTACAGGTAGATTACCCAGCCAGCAGAACGTCCCTTGGAGAATAAATTTTTAATGAAACAGGTTTGTCTGAACGAAGGACGTTGTTAATATATACATAAACAGTAGCCTCCATTTGGCGCGACAATATGTTCGATCATTAGCCCGCGGACATGATAACTTCCGAGAAGCGAACAGTTTTCCGAGAGCGTAGCTCGAGGAAAACAGTGAGCTTCGAGGAACAGATACTGTCTAAGGACAAATATCCGAGCATACTTTTCCCCAAATGGAGGCTATTGTGTTTATTATTCTGCAAACATTTTTTCACAACACGCGCAGTTTTGAAAATTGGAGATATTCACTCGGACATTCCCCAGTTTTGCCAGGGGAATATTCAGTCACGTGACGCGTTTGAACCAATCCCACGCGAGAGAAAATTTTCTATGAATTATAATTACTGTTAGCTGCCAACAACACAGACGAAGTGAAGTTATTGAAATTTTACACATTGAGTCATGAATGTATGTACAATATATATTAAGAAAACAAACGTGTACCTTAACTGTGTAATTGTGACTTAAATAACGAATGAAACTGAAACACGATGAAAAAAATGAAACGTGCCAGTCATGTAGGAATGACAGGTGCCAAGTCAAATAAAAAAATATGCCACAAAATACGTGATATGGCTGAATTGCAAATAATAATAATACCAGCTTTGAGAAACTCTCAAATACCAGTTTCGCTGCGTGCAATGCCAATGTTAAATAATTACTCAATCTCTCTCTTTAATTTGATACATGTTCTGTAGATATATAAAAAAGACCCCGTGTTCAGTCGAAATCGAAAGCGTATCTCATGGTTCGAAAGTCTGATAACTCGTGCGCCATTGTTATCTTGATGGAGACGCTGATTTAACTGCCAGAGGCTAGAAATTTGAATTTCATTCTGATTTAAATTTCTCACAGAAAGTTAAGTACGGTAAGTGTAACAAGTCTTGAACTAAAGACCTAACGAAAACAGTTTTAATTTGTCTTTAACATAAACTATTACTGGGCAACCTTAACATTTATTAATTAGTATTATTCTTGAATAGGCCGGAAAATTAAAATTTAGTTTTTCAGCTAGAAGCATCGTTTTGAAACGGTTAACAATACAAGAAAGTAAATAAGAGAGCATTAAAAATAGAGCGACAAGACTATTGAACACCGCCGAAAAAGGTCAAGTGATGAAGTAAATTTGAGTCTTGACGAAAGTATGTATCATTGACTTGTCACAATGAGTCCTATTTATTGAAATGAATCGAACATAACGAAGACTGAAATAAACATACACATTTTTGAAGTTAATAGCACTATATTTGCTTTTATCATGATTCAATGATTTGGCCGTCATGCAAGAAGTTTGTCCGCAATTTCTTCTTCTGTGCACACTGTTTGTAAACGAATTTACAAAAGGGAACTGTTTGGTTTTATCTTGGTTGTTCTCGGCAGACCTAAAATTCTCGACATGATGCTAATATGAACGGAACAAAGAACTGTTAGCTTCGAGTTGTGTTCTCATTCAATCAATCAATCAATCAATCAATCAATCAATCAATCAATCAATCAATCAATCAA